GCTGCCATTCAGAGGGAGCTGGACAGGCTGGAGAGTTGGGCGGAGAGGAACCTCCTGAAGTTCAACATAGGCAAGTGCAGGGTCTTGCCCTTAGGGAGGACTAACCCCCTGCACCAGTCCAGGCTGGGGGTTGACCTGCTGGAAAGGAGCTCTGCAGAGAAGGACCTGGGAGTCGTGGTGGACAACAAGCTCACCACGAGGCAGCAACGTGCCCTTGTGGCCAAGAAGGCCAAGGGGATCCTGGGGTGCATTAGGCAGAGTGTTGCCAGCAGGTGGAGGGAGGTGATCCTGCCCCTCTCCTCAGCCCTGGTGCGGCCACATTTGGAGTCCTGTGTCCAGTGCTGGGCTCCCCCAGTACAAGAGAGACATGGAGCTACTGAAGAGAGACCAGCGGAGGGCTACGAAGATGATTAGCGGACTGGAGCATCCCTCCTGTGAAGAAAGGCTGAGCGAGCTGGGCCTGTTCAGCCTGGAGAAGAGAAGGCTTAAGGGGGATCTGATGTATGTGTACAAGTATCTGAAGGGGAAGTGTCAAGAGGATGGGGCCAGTCTCTTCTCCGTGGTGCCCAGCAACAGGACAGGAGGCAACGGGCACAAACTGAACCACAGGCAGTTCCATCTGAACATGAGGCAAAACTTCTTTGCTGTGGGGGTGAAAGAGCACTGGCACAGGTTGCCCAGAGCGGTAGTGGAGTCTCCTTCGCTGGCAATCTAGGTGACCCTGCTTGAGCAGGGAGGTTGGACTAGACGATCTCCAGAGGTCCCTTCCAACCTAAATGATTCTGCGATTCTATGTTAAAATGAATCCTTTGAAGAGTTCCTCCAAAAAAAAAAAAAAAGCTCAATGGAGGTAACCCTCTTCTTCATCAGTGTTTCTAAGACAGTGTTTCTCTACGGCTAGTTCTGCAAAATATGAAATAAAATGAAATTGGAATATAGTGAGACTTTTCTACAGCTTGATAAAACTGCTCCTATAGGTAAATTCATGCATGCATAATAGTGGATTTGCCAGTATGGTGTATGTGAATTTGGGAATTTTTAACTTGCACTATGAAAAATAGTTTTTGCTAGTCTAAGTTACTTAAATATTTTAAAAAATGGGTGGGTATACCTGTTCTGATATAGCTGTAATGGCAAGCCGCCTCTAAATTAGGTTTGGCCCAAAGTTCATGGCTGCTTCAGAACACTAGTTTCTCAGTCCTTCCTAGCAGGAGATAAGACCTACTGTGACAGCTATCCTGGTGGCACAACAAGAACAAAGATACTGTACTTTTGAGGATAAACGCTTTTTTGGGTACTTACCAAATAATTCAACTCATACATGTCCCTAAAATGTATTCTTTTAGAGGTGCTGAATTCAGTATTTTTCCAACATGGAGGACCAGGGTTTACTTCTTAAAACACCCAAAGACAACCCATCTGTTCTGACACAGTGACTAACGTGGAACTGATACGGTATCTTTTGGTATTTCTCTTGGTCAGAACATCCAATGCACCTGGAAAAAGTCTGTTCCTTCTGGTCTTTGTAAAAAATGTTCAGAAAAAGAGTTCTGTTTCATGAGTCAGTGTGCAGTGGATCTTCTTATGTGTGTGGCAAATTGAGGTGAGAGAACTTAACTGTAGCGGGGAAATGGACAAGTTGTTCCCAGTGTCGTGACCTCCTGTTCTGTACTTCTGATTAGTAAACTGTATAGAATGTCCAACTAATTACTTCAAAGTAACATAGTTTGCAAATCATAAGAGGCACAGTCCTGCTGATGTCACAATAGGCCTTAGGAAAGCTCAGCAACCATAAAATAGTATAAACACCTGTATTTTCCTTAAAACAGGAAAGCACGCTATTCTAGACGTGTGTGTTCTGTTTGTCTCCCATGCATTAATAATATGCTGGCTGCAACAGCTAGATAAGGACGCGTCAGCTATTCCATACACATATTCACAAAGGAGTATTTTCCTATTGCT